GGATCTCAGTGATGCTCAAGTTGGATCTCAGGACTCTCAAAATGGATCTAAGGACTCTCAAGATGGATCTCAGGATGCTCAAGATGGATCTCAGGACTCTCAAGATGGATCTAAGGACTCTCAAGCTAGATCTCAGGACTCTCAAGATGGATCTAAGGACTCTCAAGTCAGACATCGATCTAAGAACTCTCAAGTCAGACATCGATCTAAGGACTCTCAAGTTGGATCTCAGGATTCTCAAGATGAATCTAAGGACTCTCAAGTCAGATGTCGATATAAGGACTCTCATGAGGGATCTCAGGACCCTCAAATCAGATGCTCTCAAGGCAAACCCCTCACATCACGATCTAGACGTGTAGCAGCACAACAAGCAAGGAATAAGATGTTAGCTCGATCGTTGATATAACTACTTTATGTCATCTATTGTGAGTACTCTTATCATATGGAGCTGTAACAATTAATAGTATTATTATTTTGTTATTAATAAGACTATAAATTATTTACCATTTTGTTACCAGTTATAGGCCAGATCACTACTATTTATTACTTATTACTGAGTTGTGGTCTTTATTATTATCTTTCTATTGTTTGTGTCTATTGGCTGACCTTGGTCAGCCAATGGGGGAGTGTGTTGGGAACTATTATTATTTAGTATACTTTTTTTTGTGAGACACACTGCGCATGCGCAGTGTGTCATTGTTATATAATACATTATATATAACACGAGTTCTTCTCTGAAGGAACCATTATAAAAGTAGCGGCGGTACAGCCAGCAATCTGAGGGAGCGCGTCAGACCTATATACAGTCCTCCATTTAGATCGGTGTACCAAAGAACTCTTTCATCTGACAATGGTGTTGTTGGACTACCAGGTAAGATTCTAGCAGCTGCTCCAAACTTAAGGTTTAAAATCTCACACCATCTTTTTGAATTTCTTCATTACCAGGGTAGTAAACATAATCCCATTGTCTCCTTCTGACAATATCTGGGTTGGGAGGCTCTTCATAAGTAAAGATGACATCATCTTTTTTTGGATTACTTTTCTTTAATTTAATGCTTGAGAGTATTATAGATACAATCAGACTACTATTACAATGGTCTTTTTTTACAACACACTTGGTTTTATCATCTTTTGCTTTACATTTAATGTTAGAGAGTTTTATAGATACAATGAGACTACTACAACTATCATCATCTTTGACATTAAATTTGGTTTTTAGGTCTTTCAAATTAATTGAAACAATTAATTTATCATCTTTTTTTGAGCAAGGCAATGCTAAAGCAGTATTGTCAGTGCTACTGTCTATATCAACTTTTCTTTTTTGGGGGCAAGGCTTTTCTAAAGCATTATTGTCATATACTTTACTCTTCTTAGGGCAATTAGACTTTGGTAAATCAGTACTCTTACGTTTATTGCTACTAACGTTACTAGTACTTTGTACATGACTTGCTGACACTTTGCCATTCTTACTACAAGGTTCACCATCATTAATTATATCAGTCTCTTGACCTTTTTTCCCTTACTTTTCTTGATTTGAGGTAAGTCATTTTGAAATTTACTTCTGAGGCTGTAAATTTCGTTAATGCACAGATTACTAACTTTAACAGAGAGAGGATCAAATGATAAATGTAATCCATTTAATGTACATACACGAGAGAATGCAACATATGCCATACCATCCCCAAAAACAGCAGTCGATAAATCAATAATGGCTGTATCTTGTGAGAGGCCCTGACATTTATGAATAGTAATAGCATAAAAAAGAATAAGGGGAAACTGTTTCCTATGTATATACAAATTCTTAGGTAGCATAAATCTAGATGTAACCCTTTCTATGTCACAAGGTATATCAATATGATCAAATTTAATTGATATACGTGTAGCATAAATACCCATTACTGTACCAATCGCACCATTAACTAATCCTACCGTCACATCAATGTTACGTCTTAGCATTACTCTACAGCTTACTACTAAAGACAACACAGTTTGTAAACCAGCTGTTTTGCTTCGGTGATCTTTCAGTTTCTCTAATTTTCTTATTGCTTTTTGTAAAATTTTCCTGTGCTGCCACTTTCATCAACAACATCAACACATGCTAATTCTATTTTATCAGTTTCCAGTCTTTCTAACTTTAATTCATTGATTTTTTGGCAGGAGTCTACCTTAGAAAATAGGCAAATTGGAGGATTTCTTCCTTTACTTTCCAATTCCTTATATTTTTCTTCTAATGAAACCTTAAATACGCAACTCTTTAGCGTATCAATAGTTTCATCAGTCAGACAGCCATGCCTAACAGAAACAAGTATCTTAAAGAAAGTTTTGTCTCCTTTTTCTCGCTCATTGATTGTTCATCATATTTTACTATTTCTTTCTATATGTTAACTGCATTTGCTGCTCCAAGTCTAGTTTTTACTATTTTTTTGCTAATTTTTTAAATACCATTAACTGGTGGCAGTTGTAAGAAGTCACCTACAAGTAAAATATTTTTGGATCCAAACCATTCATCAGTTTCAAATATATCTTCTAAGCGCATGTGCAAGTCTGCTAGATTAGATTGGATACCATAGATACCTCATCTACAATTATAATTGTTAAATTTTTAAGTGTCATTTTTATCCTTTTCTGAGCTTCTTTATTCAAAGCCCAATATCCAGCTGTTTTTCCTTCATGCTCTATTGGTAGCTGAAATAATCTATGTATTGTTAGTCCACCTACATTAAATGCAGCTATACCTGTTGGTGCTACTATAGCACACATAATTTCACCACTTTTTGAATGCCATATGTCATCCACTAGGCATTTTATTGCCTCTATTAGAAACGATTTACCAGTTCCACCTACACCACTAATAAACATCCTTAGCGGTTTGATATTATCTAATCTAAGTAGTCTTGAAGACTCATTCTCTAATAAGTCTTCATGTTCTTTTTGACTTAAAAAATGACTTAATTTTATCAAAAATTCTTTTTTGGTCTACGTTAAGCATTGCCTCTCTTTGCTCTAATGTTAAATTAGGTATGTTTTGTGCATGTCAGCAATATCAGCTACTCCTTCCACTATTTCACCCAGTAATTGAGGCTCACCATCTTCCTTGTTATCAAGAAGTTCTTCAGTGAAACCAGCTTTATTTCTTGCATTGATTATTTTCTTCCAATTACATTCAGCTTCTAATAATTTCTGTAGTTGAAATGATTCTCAATGCCACGTATAGATGCTTCTCTGTGATGCCTAAAAGCTTCTTCCATTGTTTCTCCTTCCATTACGAGTGTGCTCTCATCTCTAAAAGGCACAAATAAAAATATTAGCGAGTAATAAAAATCGTCTCTTTCCGCTTCTTGCATAGGATTAAATTTCCTATGGTTTGGAAGGACTGGTTTTGATCGAAGTTTGTATTCTCTTTCTCCATTTTCTCCTATTTTATCAAATTTGTAATTAGCAACAGATTTGTAAAGATACATCTTTCATGTTATTTGGTCTTGTTGGATAAAAGTCTTCAAATATACTAGGATTAAAAATATCTTTCAAAGATCAATCCATTTTAGTTAATTATGAATAGTTTTTGATTCTTCTGCTCCTTTTATGAGGCAAGTACACATTAACATACTGTACGGTTACAGATTTCATGTATAAACTTTCACCAAGAAGAAGATCTCTAGCGTCATATAGTCCTACTTCTTTAGCTTGAAGTAATTTTTGTCCAATTTTATAAATCCTACTTTATAATTTGTCACAGCTGCTGACTTCATCCCATAAGTCCTGTGCATGACTTTGTTCTGTTGTAGTGACATATCCAAACATACTCTGTTAAGGAAAGACTCCTGTCAGCTATGTATTGCAAGTCGATATTTGCACGCCACAATGTCAACAGTAAAGGATTGTTGTCGTTGACTCGAACTTCTTTTTCATTTCGTTTGAGATAATATAGTTTATTGCAAGATTTCAAGCTATTTTCAACATCATTGATGCAAATACTATCTCGTACTGGTCTAGGAAAATCAAATCGGCATCTAGATAAATAGGTCTTGCAGACTTTAATATTTCGTTTGCAGCAATTGCTGCTCTTGTGCATTTGGTATCTTATTACCAAAATATTTAAATTAGGCGACATCTTTCTATCTGGTATATGACAGGTAATCCTATCTTGTATGAAAGAACAGACTTCTTCAGGACGATCGATACTGACAACTGGAGCATTTTCAATCCATAGGAGGATGTGATAATGAGGCACTTCACGCATTTGATATTCTTTTTTAACATAATATTGTTCTACTTTGCCTAGAACACCTCTGGAGAATGACTGTTACAGAAATCCTTAAATTTGTGTGAAAATTGTCGCGATACTGAAACAGGGTCCTCTGTACATAATCTAGAAATACTATAGGATTGTGGTGCATTATTCACTTTTCTTAAATATTGCGCTATATTAGCTGAAATGTATTCAGCACAACTTAATGTTAGGAAAAGCGTTGGTGAGCCAAACTCAGCCATCATTGCTTTGACTTCACTTTTCACATGGAACCAATATTGATTTATGCCTTGTATTGGAGCCAACATGGTACTTAAATTGCCCTCAAATTCTTCACGTAATACATCAATTTTTCCCAATAATTGCAGCAACAGTGTGACCAACGTTGCCTCTTGTGTCTTTAATAAATTATATATGGGAGTTTTTATGGCCTAATTAATTTTTAATCTGGAATAGTGCAAACAATATGAATGATTGCTACAAAATCAAAAATCTTTGAAAGTCTAGATTTTATGTATTCACTAAATGATAAAGTCTGTGCTGCATAGCTTTGTTTCGGATGATGCTCTCCATATTGTCCAGTTGGAAATAAAGTAGGAAAGCATTACAAATCAAGATGCTCTTGCCTATTATCTATAGGCACTTCTTTTGCATTCATTAAATTATATTGACTGATATCAGAACCCGTTGCAATTTTACTATCAAGATTTCTAATGGTATATGCCAATAGGCCTTCTAAATCTTGATCAATTTCTTTTTCAAGCATTTTACAAGTAGTATTGCTAACTACATGTATAACATTTTTAGACAATTCGTCGATGGAATCATTGTCTACATTTCTATAAAGCAAATTTATTTTTTTTAATTTTCTTAGTGCTGCTTTTATTTTATTCACATCAACTACGCTACGCCAGACATTATTTTATTTAGTAGGCTGTCCATTAATAGTAATATAATATTCTGGATTAGGCAAACGACTAGAATCTATACTAACCTCATTTAAATTTTCCATTGTTTTTTCAAGGGAAAGAGGTAAATAAAACATTGCACCTTTAAGAGCCTTTAAAGAATTATATGTAGGCACTTTTAAGGTGTGTTTGCCTAGCCTAACAATTGTCTAAAAACACTTTGCTCTCTGTATTAACTGGCAACTTGAA